TTTTTTACCTCTTTGGTTAGATTTATTCCTAGGTATTTTATGGGTCTTGGTGCAATTGTAAATGGGATCAATTCCTTGATTTCTGTTTCTATTGCTTCACCGTTGGTGTATAGGAATGCAACCAATTTCTGTGCATTGATTTTATATCCTGCAACTTTGCTGAATTCATGAATCAGTTTTGGCACGGTTTTTTTTTTGTGGAATCTTTAGGGTTTTCCATATAGAGTATCATGTCATTTGCGAAGAGTGAAAGTTTGACCTCCTCCTGGCCAATTTGGATGCCTTTTATTTTTTTGGGTTGTCTGATTGCAGAGGCTAAGACTTCCAATACTATGTTGAGTAACAGTGGTGAGAGTGGACATCCCTGTGTTGTTCTTGATCTTAAGGAGAAAGCTCTCAGTTTTTCCCCATTGAGGATGATATTAGCATTGGGTCTTTCATATGGCTTTTATGATCTTGAGGTATGATCTTTCTATCCCTACTTTCTTGAGGGGTTTTTATCAAGAAATGATGCTGTATTTTGTCAAATGCTTTTTCTGCAGTTATTGGGAGGATCATATTGTTCTTGTCCTTTCTTTTATTGATGTGATGAATCACATTGATTGTTTTGTGGATATTGAACCAGCCCTGCCTCCCAGGTATAAATCTCACTTGGTCGTGGTGAAGTTTTTTTAATGTATTGTTGGATCTAAGTGGCTAATATCTTGTTGAGGATTTCTGCATCCATGTTCATCAGGGAAATTGGTCTGTAGTTCTCATTTTTAGTGGGGTCTCTGGTTTTGGAATCAAGGTAATGCTGGCTTCAGAGAAAGAGTCTGGAAGTTTTCCTTCCATTTCTATTTTTTTGGAACAGCTTCAAGAGAATGGGTGTTAACTCTTCTTAAATGTTTGGTAGAATTCCCCCTGGAAAGCCATCGGACCCTGGACTCTTGTTTTTTGGCAGATTTTTTATTACTAATTCGATTTCTTTACTGGCTATGGGTCTGTTCAAATTTTCTATTTCTTCCTGTTTCAGTTTTGGTAGTGTATGTTTCTGGGAATTTGTCCATTTCTTCCATATTGCCCATTTCATTGGCAAATAATTGCTCATAATATTTTCTTATTATTGTTTTTATTTTTGTTGTGTTGGTTGTTATCTCTCCTCTTTCATTCTTGATTTTATTTATCTGGGTCCTTTCCTTTTCTTTGTGGTCAAACTGGCTAGTGGCTTATCAGTTTTGTTAATTCCTTCAAAGAACCAGCTTCTGGTTTCATTGATCTGTTCTGTTTTTTTTTGGTTTCAATAGCATTAATTTCTGCTCTAATCTTTATTATTTCCTGTCTTCTGCTGGTTTGGGGTTTTATTTGATGTTCTTTTCCCATCTCTTTAAAGCTTAAGGTTAGGTTGTGTATCTGAGATCTTTCTTCCTTCTTTAGGAAAGCCTGGATTGCTATATACTTTCCTCTTATGACCACCTTTGCTGCATCCCAGAGGTTTTGGGTTGTGGTGTTATCATTTTCATTGGCTTCCATGAAATTTTTTAATTTCCTTTTAACCTCTTGGTTAGCCCATTCATTCTTTAGTAGGATGTTCTTCAGTCTCCAAGTGTTTGTTACCTTTCCAAATTTTTTCTTGTGGTTGATTTCGAGTTTCATAGTATTGAGGTCTGAAAATATGCATGGTGTGATCTCAATCTTTTTGTACTTGTTGAGGACTGAGTCCCAGTATGTGGTCTACTCTGGAGAATGTTCCATGTGCAATCCTGCAAATTTTCATTAACTGGTGCTTCATGTTTATACATGTATTATATGTTCCCAAATATGCTAAATTGTTCAATTCAGTGCTTCACATAATATTACACTATTTTGCCTCATAGGAAGTTTAAAAGGTTATTTTCAGGAGGCATACTATTCTTGCCTTCATAGAAAGAAAGGCTTCTTCCCTAAGTCCAGATAAGTGCTAATAAATATTTTCAGATGGCTACTTTCAGACCCAAGGTCCTGGTTTATATCCAACATACAGTTGCAAATTGTCATTTGTTTTTGATCTGTAATTGCTGTTAATCAATCTTTTACAAGAAAGATGTGTTGCATTAGTTGATGCTGGTTAAATACTCAGTCTTGAGAAGATACAAACTTCAGATGGGAGCACTGGAGAGTTTTTCCCTTCTAACCCTCCCTATCACTCATGGGTGGCTTCAGTGGTTTCCAGCTGCTGAGTACTTTCCCTGTGACCTGAGACATGACAACGAGGAAAGGTCCTTCCTGGCCCTGAGGAACAAAACCATGAAACATAAAGAACCTGACTGTTGATAAGTGATCCTTTCAAGGAAAGATCTTGATCAAAAAGGGGAATGTGAAACTTAGTAATGGGAAACCTCACCAAAATCTATTTGGGTGGTTTTGGCAAGGGGAGGTCTTAAGGCCTCCCACTCATGGTTAATTGTATACCCAGAAATAAAAAATGGACTTGACCTGAAATGGACAAAACCTTGTGCCCAGATGCTACTCTGCTTCTCCAGTCAGAAAGAGACTCTCTCCTCATCATCATGGGCAATAGAACCAACAATGAAGCCACCACACGTCAAACTACCAGGTTACTCCAAAGGACTTTTAGTTCATTACAACCTTCACAACATACTCTGTTTATCCTTTCTTTTTCTTTTCTTTTCTTTTCTTTTCTTTTCTTTTCTTTTTTTAAAATTTTGTCTCTTCTTTGTTCCCCAGGCATAAGTAGGGTTTGCTGTAGCTTTTTTGTACAGGATCACAATTCTGATTTATTCCTGAATAACCCCATATTTCGCTGATAAAATGACTGTCAGTGTCTATTTTTAAGGTTAACATCACCAACACTTGTCTCTCGAGTACTGTCTTTTTAGCATGGAGCAACTGAACTCAGGTTTGAGTGACATTATTGCCTTCTTTACCATTTGGTAACTTTCAATCGACCAGCAAGGAATGTGATGTTTCAGGACTGGGAACCAAGAGTGCTTGTGTGGAGACAAGATGGTGAGTGCCTGGGCTCAGGTGTGCTGGGTCTTTTTTCTGTCACTTAGTGCTACTGATTCTGGGTCTATGTGGTGCGACACTAGGACTAGCATGGAACTTCTAGGATGCTACTTCTTGGCTCCCACCCCAAACTTGCAACATTATAATTTCCTAGTGGATTTCTGGAATACATAATTTTTATGCACACTAAGGCTCAAGGAGCCTTAGTTACTTGATTCTCAGCTCAGTCTTTCCATTAGAATAACATGGTGTTTTAAATATAATCATCACTGGTAACTTTGCCCACAGATTCTGCCAATAGGTCTCCATAGGAGCCTCAGGGTTCTTTTAATTAACTGCTCCAGGTGAGTCTAAGTGAGGTTATGGTAAAGCATGAGGGCCCCTCAGAAACTTATTAGAGTTGAGTGCTGGCTTTGCTCCTTAACACAGAGACAGGGACATAACACTGTCTCCTCTATATGAGTTTGGAGGGGTCAGGTCCACACAGCACAGATTTCCTATGCTGTAGTAGATTGTGTGGATGTCGGTTGGAGAGGAGGCTGTATGAAGACAGGAAAGAGAAACTGGGAGAATTGATCTTGTTGTAGGAGCTCATAGTTTTTGAATAGCTCCTGACACAGAAAAGAGTAGGAAGCTGGGCCTTTTTAGTATTTCAATGTCCTGACTGTAGATGAGTAGTTAACAGGTGAAGAGACTTTACCTTAAAGGCAAATGCTCACGTTCAGGCCGTGACTTCCCCACAAGTATCTCCTGAGAAAGAAAGCTAGGGTACAGGAGGAAGAGGATGAAATGGCTGGTTCTCCGGTAAGCCTTGCCTCCCAGGTTAGAGGCTATGTGTCGTTTTTTCCTCCTGAAGTTCTATGCATTCAAAAATTGCAAAAATTTGTTTCTCTAGTTCTGATATTACTGTCTTATGAGTCTTTTCACCTACTTTTAAAACATGATATTGAAAGTTATCTCTTTTGAGCATTTCTTTGCTTTATTCTACAGCCTTCTCGCCATTCTTTCCAAACTGGCTTCCAATAGGACATGAAAACTGTCATTTTGAATTACTGTCCTGCAACTTTTAAAAATGTTCCTTTTGGGAGAGGTCTGTGGGGGAGGGAATTGAATCTGAGACTCCTACAGTAGATGGGCTTGTGTTTTGGTGTATCAGTCAAGGAGAACAGAACATATTTAAGTCACATTAGGATGCTTTATCAGCTCTTTGTGGACTAGGATTAGGCAAATGCACAAATAAACAAGATGGACATGTGGCCCAAAATAACCTCGAAAGTTCTGGAAATGAAGCAGCTTTGCTCTCCAGGATGCAAGGGGAAAAAGAAAAAAAAGATGCTGTATTTACAACACGCTCAACATTAAGGGGGAATTGGCGCTATTTGTGGCTTGCGAGTTTTGTAAACCCACTGTTTTTTCTCAGATTCCTATTCTGATTTACTTTTGGGTGGCCACAAGAACACGGGTGTGATAATGCATCCTTCCATCTGCCTCAGGCACTGATAACAATTGGCTTCATTAAAGCGAATGTTAACTTCTTTTACTTGGCTTGGTGCTCTCTGCCACATTCCTCTTATATAACGTGAATATATCTCTTAGTCATTCCTATGGATTGTATGGATTTACTAAGACATGTGCAGAAGCCATCACATTCAAACTGGAGACTCCTTTCTTCTGAGTTTCTCTTTGCTTGTAGTTTCCACTGGAAAGTGAAGGCTTCCTCTCTCTCTCTCTCTCTTGTGTACTGGAGATACTGACTTCTGGGAGAGGTGGTTCTGTGTCAGGGAGGTTCCAAATTATAAGTTTTCATTGTATTTCTTACTCATGTGACAGACATTCTTTTCTTTACTTCTTTGTATTTTCAGGAAAAAAAAAAACAAGGATCACATAGTTAACAGGGTAGAGTGTCAAAATCTTAAGATACAATATAGCACAAATGCTGATTGAAATGAAAAATTACAGAGAAATACAAGACTCAGGAATATTAGCTATTTTCTCTATATCACTCTGTGTGTGTCCATAGTGTGATTAAATGACAGAAACATAATCATCCACAAATAGAATTATAAGTTTTATGCCATTGAGGTATTGTTTTGGGAGAATGTTTCTTAACTTAAGTCACCAAGACAACATTTTGCTCTCTCACTTTCAATGTGTATATTGCCCGTTTGAAAAGTTTAGATATGTGCAGGGGTGCCTGGCTGGCTCAGTAGAGCATGAAACTTTTGATCTCAGGGTTGTAAGCTCAAGCCATACATGGGTGTATATTTTTCTTCAAAATTTTTGAAGATAAAATGAAAGTTTACATATGTGCATAAAATGTAAAAGGTAGATCAGTTTTGTGTGGATACCTTCTTGTTTTTATCACCATTCTCAGTTTTGAAACCTGCTATGAATGTAATTTTACATTGGTGTCTATTGATTAATGTTTTTTGTTAGATAAATTCTAGGTCAGAGAACCCAGGTTAAAATTCAGTTTCATGGGATACGTGGGTGGTTCAGTAGGTTGAGTGTCTGACTCTTGATTTTGGCTCAGGTCATCCCAGGGATGTAGGATGGAATTCCGCGTGGGGTTCTGTACTGAGTGTGGAGCCCGCTTAAGATTCTCAGCTTTTCTGTATGCCCTTCTCCTCACTTCCACTTTCTCTGACTCAAATAAATAAATAAATAAATAAATAAATAAATAAATAAAATGGTTAATTTAAGAATATCTAGTTTTTTACATTTACTGGAAGTATGAAAAAATATTCTGTAAAGGGAAAAAATAATGTTTCATCCCCTAGATTATTCGTGTGTGTGTGTGTGTGTGTGTGTGTTGATCTATGAAAACTTTTAGAATCTAGTAATTATTAATGCTTAGAATGTATTGGTGTTGCCTTTCTTGCTTTAACCTGTAGAATCTATAATTGCTATAGAACCCATTCATTTCATGTACTCTGATAATTCTTTCCTGGTTCTTCTCCTTTGTTATTCAAAAGTGAATACCTTCCCACGTAGGCTATTTAATACCTTGTTAGAGATGCAGACTCAGTTGCCATCCCAACTCCTGAATCAGAGCCTGCATTTTAATACCATCTCCAAATCACTGTTGTGAAATTCAGTAGAATTCGATAACATTTCTGACCCACTAAAACTTTCCATCTAAGAAATGTATACAACTTATACTATATGATGTAAATGCAAGTCCTCAAATATGCATGTGCCTCTGTTGACGCCTTCAGTTTACAGTTGATCTTGGAGAAATAGAGTGTTTATAGTGGTTCTGTGAATATTATGCCATCTTCTTATCTCAAAGGTAGAGAATATATGAAAGTATATAGCTGTGTTAAAAATTATCTTACTGGGTAAGGCAAGAAACTCACTTAAGACAGGACCATTTGTCCCAGCTCTTTCCTTTCATCTTAGGTATCATAATGAACACTGCCAATAGCCAGTTGGCAATTGTAGCATTTATTGCAGGGGTTGCTGATATTCAGGGATGTGGCCATAGAATTTCCTCAGGGGGAGTGGGAATGTCTGAGCTTCCCTCAGTGGGAATTTTACAGGGATGTGAGCTTACAAAAATATGGAAACCTCCTCTTCTTGGGTGGGGCTGACTTCCTGTATCTGAACTAACGCGAATTTCCTCCATGGTGAGTTACACGTTGAGACTACACGAGGTGGAATTGTCACTCAAAGGAAACTTTATTTTCAACAAATAAGGAGATGAGGGGAATAACTTTCAAAGTTGTATATTGAAGAGCAGGGGTGAGTGGCTTCTTTTTATTTAGGGTTAGGATTAATATCTTAAAGGGGAGTTTTGTCATCCTATGTAAAGGTAGGAATAAGGCAGGCTCAAGCCCATGTGTACTTAGGAAACAAGCCTAAACGTGTGTCCTATGTTATATTAATGAAGGCTGTGCCCCTCTATGGGTGGAGATTTTAACATTATACTGAGGTACAGGGAAGTGTCTGACACTTCATAGTCCATCTCCTACATGAAACTATACTGGAGCTCAAACTGGTCTATGCTGGCCAAAACCTGGGGTTTTGTTCCTTCCTTGGAGGAACGTCTGTTTGGAAGATTATTTGTTGCATGACTGGAATTCAGATCCCTGCTGCAGGGGAAAGAAGTGGGAATTTGTAGATGTTGAGATAAAAGTCCTCCCGATGTTTCATCTTGAGCTTTAGTGTCCCCGTTCTTAAGGTACCATCATCCTTTACTGATGATGAGTGACAACTCTAAATAGTGACATTAAATGGTATTGACTACTTCTTAAATTCTCATCTCCACTCCTTGTTATTGTATCAATAATATTTGGAAGTGGAGGGGTTTTTTTGTTTTTGTTTTGTTGTAGTGGGATCCTTTTTATCAATAAATATCTATGATATTCAGGATTTTGATGGTTAAAATTTCTCTTATTCTTGTCTGACAATTCTGTAACCATGCTTCCTTCTGTATGATAGGTTCCACAATAATTTAATTTTGTTTTTGTTTCTTATCTATGTTTTATGTTTGTGGATAACAATTTTCAACTGAATACATTTGAAGACAGTTTAGGGTTTAATTCAAATAGGAATCTGCCATATGTCAATTGCCAATAAAATTACTTCTGTATTTGTCTGTATAAATAGTACCCATACATTCTTTGGTCATGACTTACCTTGTTTCTTTTCTTGGTTAGTGGTCAGTGGTTTTTTCCTATCTTGGTGAGTTGTTAAAACAAAATTAAGGTCATAATCTATTTATGGATGAATGTGTATGCCCTTTGTGAGAGAAATACCTCTTGAAGGTAATATTTTAATTTTGTTTTAATGTTGATTTATTCTTGAGAGAGACACAGAGACAAGAGTATGAGTGGGGGAGGGTCAGAGAGTGAGAGGGAGACACAGAATCTGAAGAAGGTTCTAGGCTCTGAGCTGTCAGCACAGAGCGTGATGAGTGGCTTGAACTCACAAACTGAGAGATCATGACCTGAGCTAAAGTCGGACACTTAATTGAGCCAACCAGGCGCCCCACTGAAGGTAATTTTTTTAAACTCCTAACTTTGTATCAACTTTAAGTTTTATAGTTTACTCTTAATTGTGGTTGAAACATATGCCATGAAATTTACCATTTTGGCCATTTTAAACTGTAGTGTTAAGTATATTTATGTTGTTGCAAAACCAGTCTCTGGAATTTTCTCATCTTGCAAAACTGAAACTCAGTACCTGTTGAACAGCCACTTCCACATTTGTATGTATTCTAAGCCCCAAGTACATTTTCTTCCTTTCTCCTTCTTTCCTTTCCTTCCTTTCTTCATGAGATTCACTACATTACATTAAGTAAGTGAAATCAGTGTATCTGTCTCTTTGACTCCTTTATTTCACTTAGTGTAATGTCATCACATTTTAGCCGTGTTGTATAATGTGATGAGATGTGTTCTTTCTTTCAAAGCTGAATATTATTTCATTGTGTGTATATGCTACATTTTCTTTATTCATGCACTCATGGACATTTCTGTTGCTTTCTCCTGTTACTGGCTTTTCTGAATAAGACCTCTCTTGGAGACCCAACTTTGAATTCTTCTGGTTATATTCCCACAAGTGGGATGCTGGATTTTATGATAATACTATTGAAATTTTTTTTCTCAAACTCTCATCTTGTTTTCCATTGTGGTTGCATCATTTGCATTTCCTCTAGCAGTGCATAAAGGTTCCAATTTCTCCACATCTTTTCCAACATGTGTTGTTTTTATTTGCTTAATAGTGGGATGTGAAGTGGTGTAATGTGATAACCCACTGTGGTCAGATTTGTATTTCTCTAAGGAATAATGGTTTTGAGTCTC